CCCCTGGGTCGGCGTGGTGCTGCCTGCCCGTCCCGGCACAGGGGTGATGGATGGCCCTCTCCGGCGAGGCGGTCACGGCGACGGGGCTCGGTGCTGCCCCCTCCCCTCCCCCTCAACAGCTTGAAACCAGGTCCTTCATTTGCATTTACATGATCTCGCTGTGCAGCTTATGAGATCGAGAGATTTATTTGCTACTTAGCTTGATGTTTGATTACACTCCGAGAAGGCTCCGAGCAGCAAAGTGCAGGGACGCATCGCCCTGAGCCCGTGCCTCGGGGGGCCGGTAACTCAGCCGCAGGTTTAGGGGGATGAGGGGGAAACGCAGCGTTTTGAAACAGCAGCCAGGAGAGGTGGAAGGAGCAGGCCCCGCGGTTTGGACTGAAGAAACCGGCTGGGTGTCGTCTGAGACCAAGGGCAGGCGGCGCAGCTGGTCGCGCTGGGGAGGGAACTCTCAGGGGCTTCTCCTCCCGGGCGAGGTCAGAGGCTCCCTGGAGAGACGGAGCCCTAGACACAGGCAGACCCCCGGCTGCCCTGGCCCCTCAAGCCGGAACATCCGCACCCACACGGGCTCTGCCTGCGCAGTCCCTGCCTGGTCACTCGGCCTACCCGCACCCCAGTCCTGCATCTGCAAAGTGGGGGGACCACACACCCCTTAGGCCTGTGGCTGAGCTCAGCACAGAGCGGGGTGCCCCATCCTGGGTGCTATGGGGGGGGCCTGGTTACCTCTAAAGCGCCTGGGGCGGGGGGTGGAATCAGCACATCTTCCCCACAGGGAGAAAACACAGAGCAGCCATTTGCAGTCAAAGGTCACTCTTCTGCTCTGTGGTTCTCTGCGGCTTTGGTCACCGAGGCCTCGGGGCACTGGGCCTGTCACTCGTCTGAATATGGGGAGGGGGAGGGCAGCAGCCATAAGCACGAGGGTAATGGGGTGGGGGCCTCCTCGGGGTCTGGCACATGGTTGTGTGGTTACAGGTGTTGCAGCGGCCAGCAGGTGGGCTATGAGTGCCACTGTGGGTGCCCAGGCTGCTCCCGCAGGGCCTTTTGGGGGCTCCCGGACAGATACCCTGGGACCCAAAGGAGTAAACTCCCCGGGTGTGAGGTGGGCCAGGAGGCCCGCAGAGCTGCCCAGGGTGGCTTCTGACACGCTGCGGCACTCTCAGACATAGGAACTCACTTCGGTTGGGTGTCTAGGAGGGAGCCGTTAGGCTATCGGCAGGCACAGATACTGATAAACATGCTTCCACTGTGGCTGTACCAGTTCACACTCCCACCAAGCATGTTCCACTTGCTCTACATCTTTGCCAATAACCTTGAGTTTTAACTTTGTATTTCTCAGAGGTTGAATTTCTTCACATCTATGGGTCTTGGCCAATCAGATGCCCCCCCCCTTTTTTTTTACTTTGTGGGTTTTTTTTTAATATTTTATTTTATATAATTCTTACATCATTTTTCAACTTTGTACAATGTATGCATTTTCATATCGGTTATACTCCCCATACAATTGCACCCCCCCTTATTTTGACCCTAGTTCTTCCTCTCCCCGCCCCTACCTCTTCCCCCCACCCCCCTGTAGTGTGTCTCTGGTTTATAGTTGATTGTTGATTTTGATTATTACTTTGCATTGATTAGTCTTTTTCCTGGTCCCTTATTTAAGTTTTCTAGATTCCTGCTATGAGTGAGACCATCCGGTATTTTTCTTTTTCTTTTTGGCTTATTTCGCTGAGCATGATCCCTTCCAGCGCCATCCATGTTGCTGCAAATTGCATGTGTTTATCTTTTTTGAATGCTGAGTAATATTCCATGGTATATATGTACCACATCTTCTTGATCCAGTCATCTATTTTTGGGCATTTGGGTTGTTTCCAAAGCTTAGCTATTGTAAACAGTGCTGCTGTAAACATAGGGGTGCAGGTGCTCTTTGGAATTGATGTTTCTGTATTCTTTGGGTAAATACCTAGGAGTGGAATTGCTGGATCCTGTGGAAGCTCTATGTTTAGTAGGTCCAGAAATCTCCACACAGCTCTCCACAGTGGTTGGACCAGTTTGCACTCCCACCAGCAGTGCAGGAGAGTTCCTTTTTCTCCACATCCTCGCCAACATTTGTTGTTGCTAGTTTTTTTAATATGTGCCATTCTCACTGGTGTAAGATGGTATCTCATGGTAGTTTTGATTTGCATTTCCCTGATGACAAGTGATGTTGAACATTTTTTCATATGTCTGTTGGCCATTTGCATTTCCTCTTCAGAGAAGTTTCTTTTTAGCTCTTCTGCCCATTTTTTTGACACTCAGATGCCCTTTTAATGAAGTACCTATTCAAGTCTTTTGATGTTTGATCTATAGGATTGTCTGCTTTTTTTCTTATTGATTTGTAGCAGCTCTTTATATATGATGGGTAAGATTTCTTTGCCAGATAAAGGCATTGCAAACATTTTTGCTCATTTTATGGACTCACAGATCTTCAGAGCTAGAGTCAGTCTGGGCTGTCACCCCCCAAACTCCCTGGTGCACTTGACTGTCGTTACTTGTTTTATCATCTTTTCTGCAAGATGATCAATTTCATAAGGGCAGGGCTATGTGTCTGCTTTGTTAACCTTAGAACTCCCCAGGCTTGGTGCAGAGAGGGGATAAAATAAATTATTTGTGGAATAACTCTTCCCCACTGGGGGATGAGCCTGTCTTCCATGTGTGTCAGCAGTAACCGATTCCCAGGCAACCCTATCCAAAAAGCACAGAGATTAAGGCACCTGCCTGCTTCCCTGCACCCCCCGCCTTCCCCCCAGCCCCCATCAGAGTGGCAGCCAGTTCCTGAGTCTGTCTGTCCTTCCTCTGCCAGCTGGAAGCCTGCCCACTTGCACCTGCCCTGGGGGAGGCGGGGCCTCTCCCGGAGAAGTCATATTTTAATTAACTTCCCCGCCAGTCACTGGAGAAGCCGGATCATTTTCATAAACAAATGAGGAGCCAGAGCTTTGTCTGCAGCTCAGAGCGAGTCGTGTGGAAGAAATTCAAGAAACCAGCGGAAGCCCCAGCCCCTGCTGGAACTCAGAGCTCTGCGGTTCTCCAGGGAGGTTGGGGCCTAAGATTTGAGATGTGAACGAAGAGGGAGAAAAATGATCAGGCACCGTGCAGAGAAGAGCTGGTGGGTGTCCAGCTGGCCTCCCATGCACTCGAGCCTCTCTTGTCCCGCCCGGGACAAAGACGGGGAGAAAGACCAAGGGGGGTATGTGGGAAACCGCAGAGTCTTCCACTCCGTTTTGCTGTGATATCTATTTCTTTAATTAACCTTAAAACAAATAAGTAAAGACCAAGTGCACAGCCTACAGGGGAAAGCAGACGGGAAACTGGTCCTCCTACAATTAATGACTTAATTACATCCCTTTGCAATTTTTTTAATAGCTTGATAGAGAGCTAATTTGCATGCCATACAATTAACCCATTTAAAGTGCACAATTCGGTGGTTTTTAACATATTGACAGAATCGCACCTCCATCACTGCAATCGATTTTGGAACATTTTCATTATCCCCCAAAGAAGCACCCCTCCCTTTAGCCGTCACCCCCACCCGCCCCCCTCACTCCGCTCCCCTCCCACTTCTAGCCGCAGGCAGCCGCTAATCTACATTCTGCCTCTATGGATTCGCCTACTTGAGACACTTCATGTCAGCGGAGTCAACGCTGTGCAGTAGTTTGTGACCGGCTGGCTGCTCCCTCTGCATCATCTCGTCCAGACCCACTCAGGCTACAGCAGGGACTCACTGTGTGATTTTGAAAGTGCCCTGAAGGTGGAGTTGGGGGCCTTCTGGTGCCATATACCAAGGAAGTGCAGCAGGGCTGAGGGCAGCCCAGGAGGGCTTCCCAGAGGAAGAGGTTTTTAAATCTCGGGCATGTATTGAGCACCTGTGGCCTGTGGGGGCTAGACGGGGCAGCAAGCAGTACCCTGCCTTCTTGACAAGGTCCACAGATGGCTCCAGGGAGCCAGTGGGATTTGCGGATTAACAGGTGGATCTGCATGTAGGCTGCAGACAGTCAACCTGGGTTCAAATCCCCGCTCTGCCACTTCCTTCTCTGTGGCTTGTGCCTCAGCTTCCCTGTTTGAGAAGTGGGAGCGGCCATGGACCTGCCTCCCAGGGCGATCGTGAGGAGGACTACATGGGGAGAAGCACATGAAGAACCAAGTATCGTCCGAGGAACAGCCAGAGCTCACGAGAGCTCATCCATGACAAGGAAGACTTCACAGCACACAGCACAGGGCCTGAGCTGGGGAGCCGCCCTCAGAGGGGCAGGGTAGGGTCTGATGAAGCGCTCCAGCGGGAGACCAAACAGCAGGAACCCAGGCCTGGCCCCTGGGACGCCGCCTCTCTAGGCATCAGTTTCCCGGTGTATCGAATGGGGAACTGAGGTGATTTCACTCTGCAAACCCCCTGGGCAGGGCTCAAGGAGGAGTCACCAGACACCTAGGGAGAAAGAGGGGCTCCCAGCCGCCCGGAGGGTGACGTGGGCCTTGTCCCACCCTCAGGGGATGGCGAGGAGGCAGCCATGTCCTCATCGGTGTCAGGGACCATGGTGGGTGGGCCCCACATGGGAACAGGGGGCCAGGCGGGGGTCTCCGCAGCTGCCTGTGACTGCGTCCCCTACATGACCACAAGGGGCGTCTCTTCCAGCTCGAACCAGGCGGCTTGGCTGGCCCCAAATGCAGGTGCTCAGTCGGGGCACACGCAGCTCCTGCCCTCGGGAGCAAGGCACCTCCTTCTTCAGGGGCTCAGTCTGGCCACCCCTTGCTCGGGTGCCTCAGGCTCTGCTCTCCTGCGCCTCTCAGCACCAGCTCACTCATCAGCAATTTGGGGTCCACTCAGGAGGGCTCTGTGGTCCATTTCCCAGGAGCCCCGAAGTTCCTGCCAGGGCCTGGGGCAAAGCCCCTCCGTGACGCCCCGTGCCTGAGTTTATTACAACCGGTGGGTCTGAGGCCCCACGTCTCACCTTTGCTCTCGGTCTCCCTCCCAACAGGCTGAACTCGGCAAGCCGCGGGAAAGGAGCTGCAGCCTGCCTGGGATCGACTTCAACTACGGCCTCTACACTCGGGGGCAGGACGGAGGGGTCCCAGAAGGTGAGCCCTCGGAGCCGGGGCCGGAGCTCTCAGCCTAGACTGCCACCGCACGGCTGCCACATTCTGGGGACGGGGGGTTCTGGTGGAAACCCTGGGTCTGGGCCGGGTTGGGATGGGGGTGTCTAGCAGGGTCAGGTCTAGGCATCGGGGGATGCCAAGGGCCCAGCCAGGGTGGAGCCTCCAGGCAAGAGACCGTCTGTGCTCTGCCGTGGGAGCTGCACGCCTAGGACACACTCAGCACCGACCCAAAAGGGTCAAAGCCGTTTCTACGAAGGCCTCAGGCGCCCTCTGGAACGTCTGGGGATCCTGGTCCCTCCCTTCCTGGGGAGCACGCAGGGTGTTCACACAGCAGAATTTGGGTTAGAGGGATGAGACCGGGCCCTGTCCCCCATTTCTGCTCAGTCAGGGGTCATCACACCCGGACTGACCCCGGCACTGTGGCTCCGTCTCTCCTGCCCCAGCCATTGGTCACTGGCACGTGTTTAAGCAGCAGCCCACCTGCCCCCAAGAGCTGACCAGGAATTACATCGCCATGAACCGCGGGGCAGTGAAAGCTGGCCTGGTGACCGCCCACGAGGCCCTGCTCTACCGCCAGTTCAATGATATCCGCATCAGTGACCAGGAGGACCGGCGTCTGAAGAAGGAGCCACCCTTCGTCCCTCCAAACATAACGTTTGGGGTGAGGGCACGGTAAGGAGGAGCTCACGGAGACTGCATTAGAGAAGAATGTGGGGGGGGTGACGCCTGACTCCAGGGAGGGCAGGTGGCGCGGGCTGGCCGGTGGCACAGTTCTCAGGACTTGGTCACAGTGATTGGCTCAGAGGGACACGCTGATCCCTGTCCCACCCCGGCATGGGCGACTGTCTATGCACATAATCAAATCTCAACTCACACGGCCTTGGTTTTCTTTAAATGGGAATTTATTGGCTCACGGGATTGAAAAGCCCAGGGGCCGAGCTTCAGGCATAGCTGGATCTAGGCGACCAGGCCATCCCATCTGCATTTGGTCTGTGTCTCCGTGTCTTGGCTGTGCTCCCCAGATCTGGCTCCATTCTCACAAGTTTTTTCCTCACATGGCAAAACAGCCGGGAGCAGGCCTGTTCTTATGCCCTGGTCTCGTGGAGATCCCAGTGGGGTTTGGGAACAACAGAAGCCTTCAGGTCCAGCGTCCACAGGCCAACCCCACGGGCAGGGCTTATGATGCAAGTCTGGCCCGTCCTGGGTCACACGTCTGCCTTTCTCAAGCCAAAGCCAAGTCCAGGGAAGTCCGATGCCCGGACTGGCCAGGCCTGATCCCTCCCTCCCCGAGGGGGTGTGATTAGACTCAGTCCCCACAGTCCACAGGGGCTGATGGGGAAAGCGATGTAGAAACGGGGGTTCTGTTCCCAGAAGGAGAGGACTGAACACAAGAGCAGGTAAGAACAGCAGTGTCTGCCCGCGGGCCTGTCCAGCCCACACGTAGCACAGCACAGCGAGCAGCACAAAAGCCACTGGTGTTGGCACCGAAAACACAAGACGCGGCTCAGCCCTCGGCCAGTGATCGGACTCCCCGGCCACCCGAGCCCCATCCGGACACTGTGACCGGGAAGCCCTGACCCAGCCACCTGCCTCCGAGCCACCGGCCATCCACCCCACTGCCCTCCTGCTCCCCCGGCCCTGGGCCCCACCAGGCGCCTTCCTGTGGATCTGCCACGCTTCTTTTTTATGGTTCCCTATTTTTGACTGATCATTTTTTTTACTGTGGTAAAACATAGGTAACGTAAGACTGACCGTTGAAAGCGTCCGGTGGCGTGGCACTGACACCGCGGGCCCCGCTCCGCAGTAGCGCCGCCCGCCCCAGCTCCTGCACGTGCCGGGCTGCCCGCCGTGGGGACCTGGCCGCCAGGAACCCCGCCCGGGGGCCGTGAGCGTGGCTCAGGCCCAGGGCTGCGTTTCCCGTGTCCCGTGGAAAAGCTGGCGTCAAGTGGGCTCAGAGAGGACATCCATTATCATCTGATTTCAATATAAAATCCTAAATTGCTCTAAAACCGAGTGGCTACAATTCCAGGGAGGGGACGTGACGGAGCGCCGGCTCTATCTGCTGTGATGGTAAATGGGCTTTGCATATGCAAATTGAATGGATTTTAAAATGGTATTTAATGACAATTTTCGTAGCAGACGTTAACATTAATTGCACAAAAATGAAAATGTTGCATTAGGTTGCTGTTAGCAGCAAATATCGTGGCCATAAAGCTTTATCTTGATCAGCGGCGGCCCCTTCGGATGTGACGGGGAGCCCAGCAAATGGCGGGCGAGAGGGCTTTTATGGCACAGAAATGTCCCCCAAAGCAGGCCCAAATCAGCATCAATTTCGCTTTATTTCTTCGTAAATGGAGGTTAAGTGGCTGCTGAAAAAGCTTTTACTGAGATGCCAGCCAGCCTGCAGGAGCCCCGCACCCCCAGGATGCCAGCACAGCGGGGACACCCCCCCCACCCTGTAATGGGGCTATTACTTTAAAGTTATGGGCGAGGCCCATCCTCTAACCGGGCCTTTTACAGGCCGCGACTGTATTTATTTCTTTACTTTAAAAGCAACAGACCCGACCGTGCTGACCGCCGACTCCTTGGCCTGAGCTGGCCCAACAAACACATACGTGGGCGTAGACAGGCCGCGCCGGCCACAGCAGCTCGTGCTGGGAGGGAGGGCCCAGCCGGGGCCACAGGCAGGAGCCCCTCACGCCAGGGTGTCGGGAGCCTGGGGTGTGCCACACGGAATTCTACCCCCTGCACCCCACTGTCTTGCCTGTAATGCATTATACCAAGGACAAAATAAATGGCGGGGGAGGGATAGAGTCCCCCGAGCCCCTCAACACCAGGAGGCATCCAGAGCGGGATCAGGGACTCCTCAGAGGCTTCCTTTCCAGCCGCCTGCTTGGCCCCATCCACATCACTGCGACAGACACCCTCCGTGGCCTCAAGGAGGTGGAGAGGGAGGCCGTGATTGGAGAAAGCGGGTCCCGTGGACACAGGCCACACCCGGGGGCGACCGCCAAGGCAGCCCACGAGGGTTTGGCCCATGCAGTGACGAAGGAAGAAACGTCTGAATGACTCGCCACGTGAAAAAGCCGTGGACGTCCGGGCCCGGCTTCCCCACAAGGCCAAAGGCGGCGGCCTGGGTCTGTTCTCCGCCCGACCTACTCCTGCCCCGCCTCGCTTCTCTCAGTTTCCTTCTTTCTGGTTCCGGCAGGCTCCTAGCTGGCAGCCTCAGGGGCAGACGGTCATCTTGATCCCCCAGCAGCCCCGTCTGCCCTCCGCATAGCTGGCCCCCAGGGAGGCTGCCGGGGACTGAGCGTGGGGCGGCAGGCATTGGGCACGCGCGGCCGCTGACCTTCCATCCAGCCTGTGAGGCGGGAATCGTCCTGCTCAGTTCACAGGCCAGGAAAGGGGGCACGGGCGCAGCCCCAGTGTGCGAGGCACAGCCACGCGTCCCCTGGCCGACTGCGGAGCCGCCCCTGGGCGCACCCGGCGCTCTCGCCACCGCAGCATCTCAGAATTCCGGTCAGGGCAGAGTCTCAGTTCTCGTTACCCACGTGTAAGGCCACGACCCAGATCCCAAAGCGCGCGACGCCCCGGGTCTCCAGCAGCAGTGTCTGGAGGCAGGAATGTAACTGTTAGCGGAGCACTTAATTATTGATGCTTTTTAATCAGTGTTGCACAGCGTCGCCATGGCTGTGCCTAATTGCTGCGGCGCCGTCGGTCACGGGGGGAGGACCGCAACAAGCTGGGCAGCAGCTGGCACTCTGGCAGGTTCTGGGTGCCCTGGGCTCTGCCCAGGCCCTGCCTGAGGCCTTGTGCCACGTGAGGCCAGGAGCCCGCCAGGGGGGCCATCACCCTGTCCATGAGCAGAGAGCCCTGTGCCATCGGGGTCTGGCTCAGGGCAGCTGGAAAGGGGGCGCCCCCTTGAATTAGCGATGGCAACCGCGGGGTGTTGCTCCTCTTACATGTCAGCATCTGAGCACGCGGGTCCAGCCTCTTCGAAACCCTGAACAGGTCCATAAATAGGAGGCAGCAACTCCACCCCACCATGCGGAGGGAGAGACAGAGGGTCAGGGAGGCCGCCCCCTGGCCCTGGCTGCCCAGCAGTCTGGCCTGAACACCCGTGATGGTGACCCTGGCCCTGATCCGTCTCCCCCACAGACACAGGATGGAGGGTCAGAGCCGCTCCCGAGATATTCCCGCACCGAGAAGGGCGGAGGCGGAACGAGCCTCGGGTCAGGCTCTCGTTCTGGCGTTTCCGTAAAGCTTTAAACAATCAACAAAATGGGCTTCCCTTCTTGATGTTTCCCTCCCCTCACCTCCTGCTTCCCGGTGACCAGACTCCTCGATGGGGTCCCCCCTCCATATACAGATGTTCCTGCTTTTGTTCTCCAGCACCCCCAGCCGCACCCCCAGTCCCAGTGCCTTTGCTCAGTAAACCTCTCTGAGGGAACGCGTGGTTAAATCCACACTGGGACGTGGCTATGGAAACAGCAACGACAAGCAACTTTAGTAGGTACTCAGGTCACCCCCAGTTAGTGCCGTCTACACCCCCTCCCGGGGCTGAAGCCTCAGGCCGTGCAAAGCCAGCAGCGTGAGAAGGCAGGACCCGCTGGCCGGGGCCCGTGTGCGGCCCGCCCGCGACCAGATGCCTCGTGCGCCTGACGCTGACAAACGCGAAGGAGGCAGGAAATGTTACAGGCTGTTAAAAAATGTTTGCTGCCTGACAGGTTTTTTGAATCCCTCTGCCAAGCTGATTTATTTTACAAACTTACAAGGGGCCCATCGATCACCCCAGGTTATTTTGTTTCTCCTGGAGCCGATGGTGAAATCCAAGCCACGCACCCAAGCGCCTAGAAAATAATAATAAGCCCCTTTCCAGACGCGTGTCCCAGGGACCCAAGGCCGGTTCTGAATGGGGAGACCCCCCGCAGGTGTGTGGGGCGGCTGAGCGGAGGCAGGTTTGGATGAGGGCTCACCGCCAGGGGGAGCCTGAGGACCTCGCAGAGACTCCCCCTGCCTGGAGCCAGCCTGGAAGCCGCCGGCGGCCGCCCTGCCCCTCTGCCCCCTAGCACTGCCCCAGCGGCAGCTACAGAGCGCTCTGCCCGATGCCAGCTCTCCCCGCTGGACACTCCTGGTGGGCAGGCCTGTGTTCTTTTTGCCCATAACTATACCATCATAGGCTGGCACACGGTAGGCACTCAATAAATATTTGCTGAGGGCCTCCCCGGTGGCGCAGCAGTTGAGCGCTGGGTTGTGAAGCTGCCCGCGGCCTCTGCAGCGCCGGTTCGATCCCCGGCTGCTCCCCGCCCCCCAGAGGAGGGTCCCACATGGCGCGCAGACCTCTCCTGCCGCCCGCTGCTCCCCTCAGCAGTGTCCTTCGGTCCTTCTGCCTGCTCTGCTCCCCGCTCTGGCTCTGGTGAATTCTCTCACCCTCCCGCGCTTCTGACTGTACCCAGTGCATGTATAAATAAATCTTTAAAAAATAAATAAATAAATATTTGCTGAGCAGAAGTGTGGTCCAGGGCCTGTTAAGAGTTTGAGACAGAGTTATTGAAAGCGAAGACTCGGTCAATTTGAGTCCTAAAGAAGAGTCCTGGGTCACCGAGCAAACTCTGCTGTGTTCTCTCCTGCTTGATGCTGTGAATCAGCAACACGGTGCCTCAAAGAGTAGA